AGAGACTAAATATCAGCCACACATCGTAAGTAATCTATTTAAAAGTATCTATTAATAATTACTAAACGTTTTATTTGCTTTTAGTTTATGATGTTCAAGAATTGAATGTGCTACACTGATATCAACACTTGTTCGATTCAAAATAGTGTTAAATTCATACTATAATCATGGAAAAAGCTATAGCATTTTTATAATAATGGTACATTCCAAGGAATTTGTGTAAAATATGATAATATAAACCAAATTTAACTTGTTGAAATAGAAGGCATCGTATTTAGCTTCGAAGAACTATAAAGCAGTACGAGACAGAGAAATTTACAGTGAAATTAGATCCTTCTTTATGTTGTTAAAAGAAAAAGTGTAAGGCAACAGTAAATAAACATATTTTAGCCTAGAAATTATATTATTTACCGATTTGTTTTTAGATTTTAAAGAAATGGCGAATGTTCCAGGTTTGATAAAACAATAAACTAAATTCAAGAACTGTCTCTAAAATTACAATATTAAGTCCAAAATAAATAAAATTAGAAAAGAAATCTATGAGAATATAAATCCCGTAACACCATGTAAAAATCAAAAGTTGTAGTAATTTCCGCTGAAACAGAAAGTGACAAAAAACAATAATTGAATACGATAATCAATACTAATATACCAAATCTCGATTTTTATCTGAAAAAGTAAAAACTTATAGGGGTGAACCACTTTCGAGACGCACCCGGTATTTATAATTAATTTATTTTTGTTTCCTAAAATATTTTGATTAAAAGAAAATATATAAAAGTGGGCAACGCTCTGTCGGTCAAGCTTAATCACGTGACTAAAAGTTTATTTGGTATGAACTGTGGTTGTGATTGATTGATACATTAATAGTGTTGTATGGTGTACTAAACAGTATTAATTCTTTACATTGAAAAATATATCGATTTCACAAATAAAAAAGTCAAAAAAAATTTTCAAGAAGGTAAAGATAAAGTCAACAGTTGACGTCAAAATATTGGCATAATCTGCTAACATTTTTCTATCGATACCGATCGATATCGATTTAGCATCAGTACCAATCTCTAATCCTAAAATCATCTAACAAAGTATTGCCAATTATTTCAATTATTGATTGCTCCATTTAGATTTCCACTTCATGACAGAGTTTTATAGAAAAAAAAGAACCAAAAATCTCCTATCATTTTCTTAAGGCTCATATTATTATAAATTGAATAAAACGGAGAATATTGCCCCTTTATCCAAAAAAAAAAGCAACCCGAGATTATATCGAAACCGTTTCGTTTTAAAAAGCAAACACATTTTAAAAGCCCTAATCGATTATTTGGCTGTGAATAATTTAGCACCGGCTGTGTCGGTTACGTTCGATTGGCTTCTTTGTTTTGCCTGCGTCTTTTCTTTTTCGATATTATACGGCATTTAACTTCGAAATCACCTTTTCTTATTTATTCTTATACATGGATCGAATATAGGGGGTGTTCCAATATTCCGTGGTCCTAAAACTACTATGTATTTCTGGAATCAAAATAAGTTCATTGGTAACAATTTGTTTCTTACGCAGGTGCTTCGTTTGTCCGTTAGAGGGTATCGAACTTAAAAATAAACTCATTTTTTACGATATTTTAAGAACCGTTATTCCGATTTGAATGAAATTTTAAATTTCTATGTTTTACGCTGTATTATCGCACCTAAAACACGCTGAAAGATCTATGTATTTTCAGTAAAAGCCGCAAAACATCAGCAACATTTTGAAGTGAACCTTCTTTACGCGTGTTGGGAGTAAGAATTCAAGGCCGTGAGGCACGAGCTAGAGTCAGGAAAAGTGGTAACGATAGGAGGTTAAGACGGAGCGTCGTAACTTGAGCCCTATGTGATCTAGGGGGCTGAAATTCGGAATGTAGATGAGGCTAGAAGAACCTTTGGTGGCGACCAAATTTGGTGGGTAGGCTATGTGCGCGACGGTGCACACGGCCCACCCTGCAAAGTTTGATATTTTGACGACTTTTCATGCACTATGAAACACCATCATCAATGGCGAAAAAAACGTCCGATTTAATGGGTCTTTGGAGCGTCGTAACTCAAGCCCTATGTGAGCTAGGAGTTTGAAACTCGGAATGTAGATGGGGCTCGAAGAACCTTTGGTGGCGACCAAATTTGGTGGGTAGGCGACGGTGCACACGGCCTCACCCTACAAAGTTTGATACGACCGACGTTTTGTTTACATCTTCTGTAGGAAAAAAAAATGTGGGTCGATTTTGGAATAATTGGGGACGGACTACAGGATGACGGTCTCGGCGTTTCGCAGCGATGCCTCTAAGTAGGTGAAATCATCAGGATTTTCCTTAATTATGGGTCGATTGGAACCAAACTCGGCACGTGCAGAGAGGTACCCGAATGGAGTCCTCAGATGGACAGACAGACAGATAGACAGACGAAAGTAAGAAGAAGCACTTCGAATATGCTCACATAGTGCACACGTAATTTTTTTTACATGCCATGATCTCTTTCTTGCTCAAAATAATTGAGTAGAGACTAGTGAAGCTGCTGATTCTGACTACTTAGTGGTTTTGGCATTTTATTGCACTGAAAATCGCAGTTTTAACAAAACAAAACGTATATATTTATATTTTCCATAGCAACTGTTAAAATTGCCTTATATCTATCAAAAATACTTGATAAAATAGTACTTTAACCACAAGGGTAGATTAAATGATACTTTAACAGCGAGGATAGGTTAAAAACTTTATTTTTTCTCGCACGTTTTTTAATTGCTTCCATTTTTGAAAATTTTTGTATTCCTTTTCATAAGTTATTCGGGATTTAAATGGAAGTAGTTTGAATATGGCGTTTGTCGCCGCAGCCTGAATATTTGTTGGTAATTTACGTATTTCGTTTTGAGCCATTTCTGGCTCAAATTCAATCAGCAATCGACACGAAAGAGATTTAAAAAATATTGACTCAAAACTGGCAACTAAAGAGACAGCTTTATTTATTTGTCAAATTACATAGAAACCAACGCCAATCCAGTACAATATTTTTTCTACTCGTAATAAATTCCTTGAAATAATAATTTCTGAATATTTTTTGAAATGTAACTAGCTATGGAAAAAATATTGTTTTATACACGACGATAAAATTGCATTATCGCCTCCCGAAATTAATTCACTGGCGATTTCATCGCCCGTGAATTAATCTTTTCGGTCGACGATAAAATACCATTTTATCGTCTTGTATAAAAAATGACTAAAATTCGCCAAAGAAAGTTCGCAATAGAATTGAAAATAATAAATGTCAGATTAGGAAAAGTAGTAGAATTGAAGATATTTTTTACAGAAGATTTTCAAAGAACAACCGGCAACATTTGCTATGACAACCGGCAACATTTGCTATGACTACCAACATAAAGCCTTTTTATCGGCTAATTTGCATACTTCATTCAACAGCGTGCTGTCTATTTTTATTGAGAATATAAGACTATGATAACAAGGACAAGTCCGTTTTAAGTTTCAAACTGATGTTTATTTATTAAAAAAGTTAAAACTTGCTAATAGTTTCAACGTCTTTGACAACGTACACGCCAACTTTTATTAATTTTTCAATACTCACACTTTTTTTTATTTGAAAAATCTACTTTAAGAACTTGAAATCGTCCTGTATACATTTCTTTCTTAATTTGAAATAAATATAATACATTCTGTCTAGTTTACACCTTTATTATCAAAATTAATTAACTCAAAGTCACTTTTTTCCATTCCCGATCTATTCTAAACATAAAATCTTTATTTAGCTCTAACACTATCACAACAATGGCGGTCGGAATTTAATTAAAAAAGTTATTATTAAAAGGCAACACGGTCTTCGAGTTTGTTTACCCTGTAAACAATGTTGTAATTGCTAGGCTCCAATTAAAGTTGTTTAAAAGTAGTTAGAGTAATTATGGCGACTGCCGGAACTACTTCGCATTAATTTGTTTATTCTGTGCCGGGTATGTGGAAAATAACTTTAAATAATAGGGGGATACGCTGTTTAGCAAACATTTGATTTAGTTTAACGAATGTCGTTATAACGAAATAACCACGGAAATAACCTATTCCACTTTTAAAGTAATTTTTAATTTTACCTAACAAACAATATTACATGATTTCCATTACAGTTTGATAATATGCTAAAAAAACTGTTAAACATGTATATACACATTATACATTTTTAACAGTTCTTATACAGAGTGACCAACAGTCATTGAAACAGTTGGCAATACTGTGATAGAGAATATTCGGATTAATGATTGGTACAGATGATAAAACAAATTATAGACCGAAAAAATGTAACAAATTATTTCAATTCGCTGACGTTATTTTTTTGTTTTTTTTTTATCTTCTTCATTTACAAGTTTTGACTTTGTTATTTGTGAAGTCTATAATGGAAAATTTCGATGGAAAAAATTACTATTTTTCAATAAAATTACAGTGTTCAACAGGAAAACAGAATACTTGCATAATCACGGCTTATTTCCATTTCGGCGTTCAAAACAAGACTAGAGATTAAACGTAATCGGCAAAGTAACTTTTCATCAACTCAGAATCGCAATTATGAACAGCGTTTAATTATTTATTAATATCAGAAAAGTATAGCCGGGCGATTTCAAAATAATGTTAACCATGAAATAAACGAAAATGGAACAATATGATAAGCCGATATTATAACGGCACATTTTGCCATTCAAATTTATAAAGATATTTAGAAATTGATAAATAAAGTGAATACATAAAGAAATAATAGAATGTATTGCCAATCAAACAAGGAAAATCAGAATAGCCAACTATTTCAATCATTGTTGATTGCTATGTAATTCTCAAAGCTTAAGGGATTTAGTTGAATTAATAGATTCGAATACCATTATATATAAAACTTATTTGTATATCATCCACAAAGCAAGCTTCATAATAAATTTAAAAAATCTTGAGATTGTTGTCATGTTATACCTTAAAACCTGTTGAACTTACCTATCGTAGTAATAATCCCTGAAACAAAAAATAACATTAGTAAATTGATACTATTTCAAAAAGGTATTTGATATAAATAAAACACAAAACAAATTCAACCATTTGCTAGTTTATCCATCTAACCATTGGTTTATATAAAGACCATGTCTTTAAATAAACCATTCTAAGATGTGCTTATTGATATAACACTAAACTTAATTATTGCTACGTCTTAAATATTCTATCTCTATATCATAGATAGAATTATTTTTCCTGTCCTATAAGGTGCGTTTAGACTTGAGCACTCACGAGTTGAGCGTACGCGTACGGAATTCGTTCGGGCTAGATGAAATTAAAAACATATTTTTCGACGAATGAAGTGATCCACGACGAATTGTGCGCGGACAGCAGAGTTGTGTTGGAGAAAACAATGGACGACCAAGATATAGCCGCGGCTGCATTTATTGTTATGCCACAATTTAATTATAGAAAGAAGAAAAATAAAAAATATCGTCGTTGGTTGCAAACCCAAATGTTTAGAAATCGATATAATATTACTAAAGAACTTAGTATCTGAGGAGGGTTATGATCAGTTCAAAAATTTTAAGAGAATGACCAGACCCAACTTTGAATATTTGCTAAATTTAATTACACCAAAAATTACGATAAACATTTTAGAATAGTAATATCGCCAAGAAAACGCTGAACCTTGACTTTACGTTTCTTGGCAAGTGGAGTCTTGTATAGCAGCCTACCTAGCTAGTACTTTTTAAACTGCAGCACTATGGGTTCAGGGGAACATCTCTCGAATGGTTTAAGTGGTATATGAGCAACAGAAGTCAACTTGTGAGGGTGGATACCACGTTGTCTTCTAGCAAGCCAATAGAATGTGGAGTACCACAAGGCTCAGTACTAGGCCCTATTTTGTTTCTTCTTTTTATTAACGACATTGCTAACATAAACATCAGTGGCAAAATATGTCGTTTTACGGACGATACTAGCTTCCCTTGGAGCAACAAGGACGTCACTGCACTTCATAGGATTATATAAAATGACTTAATCACCATTAAATCTTGGTGCGATTCGAACCTCCTGAGTCTCAACATTTCTTAAACTAAAGCTTTGTTGTATAAAAACTCGCTGCAGCCTTTTGTACTTAACAACACCACCATTGACGTCGTAAAATCTGTAAAATTCTTAGGGCTTGTTGTAGACAATTCTCTGAAATGGGACATGCATATCGAAGCTTTGTCGAAAAAATTATTGAGCTCTGCCTGTTTTGCATTAAGATCTGTTTCTAAGGACCTTAACATGTCAGTGGCTAGAACTGTTTATTATGCACTTTTTGAGTCGCACCTCAGGTATGCCCTTCCATTCTGAGGTACGTGTTGTGCGACTCAATTTGACTGCATTTTCAAGCTCCAGAAGAGAGCTGTTCGATATTCACTGGGACTAAACAGCAGAACTCATTGCCAGGACTTTTTTAAAAAATTAAAAATATTAACTCTTCCTTCCTTATTTATATTTGAATCCATTTGCCTAATACGTAAACATGTATCAGCTTCTCAAGAAAGGCCATCTCACACTTATCCACTCAGAAACGCGGAGCAAGATCTTTATCTACCTACCACACGTTCAGAGTTAGTTAGAAGTTCAATATTATACAACTCGAAAAAAATGCACAATCACCTGCCATTTGAAATAAAATCCAAACTATCATTTTCTTCATTTCGCAAAGCATTGAACTCTTATCTACTAGACAAGGCTTTCTACGCCGTAAATGAATTATATTTTGATAATCGAATTTGATCTTGTAAACACTGGTCTAATGTTTGCTATTGCTATATTTATCAATGACACCGAAATAAATTTATTTAGAGGTCATTGATATTTACTATAAACTAACTAAATATTTTTGAATATTATTTTTATTTTTTTTTATTCTTTGACATTGTAAACATTTATAAATGTTTATTATAAACAATAAGACTGACAATATTATTTGTATAATGTTTTGTATTATCTTTTGTTTGTTTGTTTGTGTACCTTGTTTGTTTACTTTTCCTTTGTCTACAAATTTTAAAAATTTTTGACAATAAAGGCATTTATTTATTTATAAAGTTTCTAAATCTTCCATCGCCTATATTATTCCCGAAGTAGCGACTGTAGGTAAATTTCTGGAGTTTATAACGGCTTCAATGAAGGTAGAAGCAATTTATAGGGTATTAGTAGATCTATATTCTGAAATATTCATATCAGACGTACTTGGAGAAGTGAGGTCGTGATAGGAGCTGGTGTTAGATGTAACGGAATGTTCATTAGTGAAAGCTGGGGACGTTTGTAGGGACAGACTATGAAAATATTATTACATGGAGAAAACGGCTTTTAATTTTTTTTGTGCGTCATTAATATCGATATGTTCAATATTAATTTTACTTGCCAGGTCTTGCCATGCGTCATTTTTTTTTGTTTTTGAATAATACGCAGAGTGATTTACATTCCATAATTTTTTTTTTAATATTTTTTATATTCTTTCATTAACAATAACGAAGAATTCGTTGGTCCACTCCATAATTTTATTAATGAAAACAAAAAAAAATCACACACGCACGCAGCCAAAACAAATTTCCGGTGCAAACTGAACGTTCCCCAAAATCTCTTTGAGCGCGGATCAAAAACCGACACCAGACTGTTCGCGTTCGCGGCTACTCTCGCACAGGCAGATTCAGAGTGAGCGTGTCATTCTATCCAGAGTGTCATTTTCCATCGAATAAAGTAAAAAATACAGAGGGTACCATTTAAGAATCAAAAGTTGTAGTCATTTCCGGTAAAATAGGAAGTGACCAAAAACAATTGAATGCGTCAATCAATCCTGTCCAATTGATGTCATATACTATTATACCAAATCTCGTTTTTTTCGACTTTCCCTGCAAATCTTAAACTGTCCAAATATTTAAATCTGCGTATGCTGAATACACTTGCCAAATTTAAATAATTTTTGGACAAGCTGATTTTAACTTAAGAAAAACTGCAGCTATTTTTAAGTTATAACTGAACAGGTAACAGAGCAAAACCAGACAAATGTCAACTTACTTTAAGTTGTCAGCCTATCAATTTATGATTGTCAAATGTAATTTATTGTACTGTCTACACTACTACCACCGCTAGTACGTTATAGTACGTACGGTTTGTGTGCCCGAAATGTATTTAAAAATAGAGGCAGCTTTTCTTAAATTAGTTAAAATCGGCTCGGTCCAACAGGGAAGCCAGTATTTGGACAGTTAAAAATTTACATGAGATTTCCTATGTTTCCAACTACTTTAAGAAACTTAAGTTAACTCCAAGAAAAAAATAATTACAATTGAATATTACCGTATACAGAGATATAAAAATGAAAACCATACCACTTTATCAAATTACCGAAGAGACACACCGTAGCGGTCCAAGATACAATTTAAAAGAAACACAATTTAAGATGTCCCTGCTCCCTGCATCGTACTTTACCCTTTCTCTCGGCGGGAGCAGAAATTGTTTCGGACGTTCTTTATTCCCTCACTGCCTTCATATATAACTCTTTTCCTGTGCCTCGCGAGACATTCCCAATCCCCAAGAACGGGAATAGGGACGGGAGTGGCATGCACCGGCAGAATCCAGATTAAATATTTAGGTTGTAAGTTATCCTTTCTTAAATTCAATTGATCTTCGTTTACGCGACGTTGCTAGTTTCAGGTTCTATACGTATATATGCAGTAATATTGATATTGAACGCTGGCATTTTTGGTAAGAAAAATATTACAGCTTTTAAATATCAGTTTACTTATATTTAGTTCGAGACATTATCAGCAACTATTTAGTATTTATTTATTTAGTAGCTAAACAAAAAAGGTTCTGAGAGCAGTTACAGTCATCAATATTTGAAGACATACTATATCCTTTATCGTACATATACACTGCCGGTCACTTTATCCTCTGGTCTGTACTTTAAAGCATACGACAGATATACAACCAGTTGATAGAAAGAGAGACAACATGAAAACATTTTTCAACTTCCGTGGGTGATTTGTCTCCTAGGTCTGATAGGTCTAGCGTGGTTTCGCCAAACACCTCAAACCTGATCGCATATACGTATACTGCAGACGCATAAGGCATCGCTGAACGATTCGGCTTTTTAAAATATATCCGACCAATAAAAATAGCAGTAAAGTGAAGACGTAGTTTGTCCTTATATGTCTGCAGTTTACTAAGGTTGGTCAACTTGTAAACGGCAGACATAGTTTATGCTAGTACGTCTACAGTTTATGCTGTTTATAGAAATGTAAATACCAACTTATATCACTTATATGATACCAACTTATACCACCGTATAAAACCAACTTTTTTAATTGCTCTTATGTAAATGAACATAATAACAAATTAACATTCGTAAAAAATCACTATTTCCTAAATTTATTGTCACTTAGACCAATGTTTCTACATACAGTTGCAATTTGTGTGGTGCTCTTTTTTGCTGTTTTCTATTTGATTTTCCAGGTTTTCGTCCAGCTAATGATGCTTTTCTACCTGTCATTGTAACTTTACTTCTTGATATTGAAGTCGGTTGTACAGCTATTTTTTTCCTTTTCTTAATACTACCTGCCTCTGATTTTTAGACGGAATTCCTGCATATTTAAAAACAGAATGCGAGCCTGATATCTATGATTGATTTGATTTGGCATACTTGGTACAGTTGTCCAAATATTTCATTACAGCAGGTCCAAACGGTTCAGCATCACTTTCAAGCTTTGACATAACAAATTCGAATGTGCTGTCCATTTAGTTTTTATTGGTTCTATGTCAATATTTCCTTTTCCATCAAATTCCATGGCATCATCATTATCAAACGTCTCCTGATCTTTTTGGACAGAAGAATAATTATTACAAGAAGACATGTCCTGGTTTGAATTCTTTGCTGTAAGGTCTTTCATTTTCAGTGTATCAAAAGAAGATGAATTTGCAATTTTTCCCAAAGCGATTTAATAAAGCATATTATGTTTGGAGGA